GTATGTATGTATGTATATATGTATGTATGTATGTATACGTAAAAAATTTTCATTATTTTTATTTTTAAAAAAGCACTCAGTGCATCTCCTAGATTCTAAGAGCTGTTATAAGTATTTTTTTAAAGATAAATTAAATAAATTAATTAAAAAAATTCAGAGGGCCATACAGAAGTCACCTGCGGGCCAGATGTGGCTCATGAGCCACCAGTTGCCCACCCCTGAAATATACATTAAATTGGCTGTGCATCTACTGATTAAGTTATGATTGCCGCCACAGATAATTAACCTTAATAGGCACAAAAATGGTCAAACATACAGTGTAGTGGCATTTTATCTTATTTTTATTGTTGTTTTTGTGTTTTCTGTGATTTTTAATGTAACGTGATTTAATCACCGTAGTTGTTTATTGTTAAGCCATATCAATCAATCAATCAATCAATCAATCAATCATACATCATTGAATTTCGCAGATTTTAGCTTTAATTTGATGCTGCTGTGGCTGAGAGTCAATTGTAACAAACTTCAAGCATTAATACATCACATGCATGAGATTGTGCATAAATTAAATCCAAGGTTTGGTCAAAATGGCRGCAACTCCAATCATTTCTTCATCAGTGTAAAACTCTTGCATCAAAGGTGGGGACAGCTACTCCTTTAGATCTTACTTTTTTTAACTTTGTAWATTTCAAGTCATCAAAAACTTTGAAGATAAAACAGTCTTCATCTGTGGGGAAGCTGACGCTCAGCAGCASGCAGGTAACCAGAGCAGAGGGCGTCTGGATTGTAACGCCCTCGTGGGAATAAAGCCAGATTAAAAGCAGAGTAAAACCCAAACATCAGACCACAACTGCGTCAGTGGGAATCCGGCTCACGACGCTTGAAATGCGATTCGCATCGTTATGAAAGGAAATACATGGTTTTAGACAGACAGAAAATCGATGCTGCTGACTGACTGTAGCGCAACTTAACAAATGTGAGAGAACTAAAAAAAAAACTGCATAAAGTGGAATAAAAATGAGTCAGACATAATAATCCTGACTAAGCCTGTGTAAGGAAGCWCTGGCAGCCAAGACAGTAGCTGGATCAGAGCACAGACAGTGATGCATGCATAATGCATCACTGTAAAATCTGCTTAAGCACAGTAGCACAAATATGCAGCAATCATATTTGCATCACTTTTTGTTTGTATATATATATA